AGAGACTGAGTTCCACGTGACAGACTGGGGTACTGGATGATGGGCTTGTTTTCTTTGGAATAAATTAAATGTTACAGAAAAAAAATATATATCTAGGGCTGATGGTTCCTCCCCTTGAACCTGAAGAACACAGCAGAAGTAACTCAGGGTGGCCTCCACAGCAATATGGCTTCCCCCCCGCTCTCTCCAGGACACTTGCTGTGGGAGCCATGTCATGAAGAAGTGTAGGCCACATGGAGAGGCATTGTGTGGATGTTCCCTGACAGCCTCAGCTCAGCCCTGAGCCCACAGCCAGCACCAATCACCAGGTTGAACAAGCCTTCAGAGGGTCCCTGCTCCTGCTTTTGAGTCTTCCAGCCCAGGCCCTGGACACTGAGCAGAGCCCGGTCAGCCTTGCTATGCCCCACTTGAATCTCTGACCTGTAGGAACTGTGGGAGATAATAAATAATTATTGTCATTTTCAGCCTCTAAGTTTTGGGTGACTATAGGCAAAACACCTATATGCCTCCAGCCAAAAAAGCCGTTTGAGAGAGAGCAGTGAAAAGACTTTGTGCAAGCATACTTGTAAGAAACTGAGGCAGAATCCCATGTGGCCAGGTTGGTTGTGAGCCTAACATGACCAACGCTTTGGCTGGAATAGCATTTTCAGATTGTGTTAAGGAATTAAGGCTGACTTTATAGGCCAATGAAAAAGCCCCTTGGAAAACTGGCCAGATACCCATCTACTGATCTGTGGTAAGTGATGAAGGTCCCTTGCTGATGGGTCCCCGAATGGAAATGTGCTCGGAGACCTCAGGGGAAGAAGAATTTACCCAATGCATATAGGTATCAAATGGCACAGATGAAACTTGGGCTCATGAAAGGCTTTTGAAAAGTCCAGCCTGAGAATTCCTTATAAAAGGCTCCATAAACCCCCCCTGACTTAAGGCCTACATGAGAGCAGAGGTTTGCACACAAATTCCTGTATGCCCAAGAAGTTTCTCTATGTTTTGTTTAAAGATCCTAAGTAACAGCCTCCAAATGTCAAGGTCAGCAAGGGCAGGTATTCAATCTACCTTGTTCCGCCTCAGGCTTCATCAGATAAGAACAAAGAAGTAATGGCTAACAACATGTTCTCCATTAAGATTGGGTTATGTTGATCGGTTATGTTAAAAGGTGTATGTTGAGTGGATTATCAGATGTCACCTGATGTTTAGTTGGATCAATATAATGTTTAATTGGATCAATGAGGTCATTGCTGCATTGTACTCATGTGCTCACAAAATTCCCTATATAAACCAACCGCAAATAAAGAAGCTCGCCATTTTGCCTGAGCGAGCAGATGGTCACCTTTATTTGAAACACAATTTCAATAAGCGTGCTTATTTTCCCTGACGTCACTTTTCCATGAGACCCTCATGGCAACAGGTGACTTACTACACAACCACAGTAGCAGAGCAAGTTATTCCTGGGAATCCCTGGGGGACTCACAATCTTGTCTCATGAATAGTCTCCTCGTACTGTCTGCCAGGCGGCTGGTGTGATGAGAACTAGGCAAGGGGTGTTTGGGAACTTCCTAGTAGCTGGAGAATTTTGATTAGTTATTTGGAGTAAGTTGGAGAGAAACTGAAAGACCATTGCCTGAAAGTGGAACAGTATGTGCCGTGATTTGGCGGCATAGATACCACATGTGTAAGCGCCACCATCTGTGTCCTTCTGAGCACGCAGTTGGCTGTGCGCTGTGAATGAAGTAGGGGGATTCACTGAGAGAGAGAGGGCTGGGGAGTTCCAGAGAGGGGCACAAACCTCGGGTTCCCATTCAGTGGCAGGCTCTCCCCTGTTCTTCTCACATTTATTCCAGTGTTGTTATTTTATCATCAT